TCACATTCAGTTAATACTTATAGGGACCCATTTTCCATTATTTTAAAAATACTTTTCCATTCAGTTATCTTATTCTTTGGAGTGGCCCTAGGAAGAGGATTTTTTATTCCTCATTTTACAAGTAAGAAATCCGAAACTTGGAAGTTTTGACTTGTCCAAGGTCATTCAATAGGAGAAACTAGAGCCAGGATTTGATGCCACACTTTCTGACTCAGAGTTGCCTGCTCTTTCTACACTGGTACTTGCATCAAAAGCACAACGGTGGCTTTTATTCATTTCACTGCCCGTTTTATTTCCATTCTACAGACACTTACTGAGCCCCTACAAATTGCCTGCTATCAGACCTGCCCTGGGAAGGCAAAGATTGTTTAATCCCTGCCCTGAGTTCAGAGTTTAGTGTGCTAAATGTAAGATTAGCTCTATTTATTTGGAATACTCAGGAGCACAGAGGAGGGCCACCTCCTCTAGAGTAAGGTGTAGGACGTGTCAAAAAACACTCTGGAAGAGATCATGCCTTAGCTGGGTCTGAAAGGATGACTTAGCCAGGGGAAAGGGAGGAAATATGAGTAGTAGCAGAGATGCATGGTAAATGTAGAAAATTTCAGGCTCTCAGAGTTGCTGGAGGGTAAAGCGTGAAGCAGGGAACGGCCAGGAATCAGGCTAGAATATTTGGTAGCTACCAGGTGATACCATATCCTACCAGCAGAACTCTTACCAGACCCCCTCTTTTAGGGACTCTTAGGTCAGTTATCCATCCTTGGTCCTAAGCTATAGTCAGGGCAGAAGAATTACTTGGTGCAAAGGATAGTGATCTGTTCATAAGGAATTGCTCAGAAGGGGCAGTGGGCAAGTGGGCATGCCTTATACTCCGAGGTTTCCTAGTGGGGGTAATGTCACTGGAAGGCTGGCTCGCTGCATAGTTGGTCCAGGACAGAGGCATAGTAGGAGCTAAGGCTAGCTTGAAGATAGTGAGTTTTTAGTGGCATCGTCTGTTCACTTAAGTGGTCTTCCTGAACACGTGGGAGACCACATGGCCGAATAGACTGATGCCAGATCAACCTTTATAGCCTAAGCTAAACAATATTCTCAGGTGAAAACCATGTTTCAGTTTTATCAAGGAGATAAAAACAGAATTTTGTTGTAGATTCTACTACCTCTGTGAAACATTACTGACCACTCTGGGCTATCTTAAACTTTCCCTTATCTATATTCCCAGAACAACTGTAATTTCACATATATATTGAGTGCTTACTAAAGTTTAGACACTATGGTAGATGTTAAGATAGATATAGCATTACACCTTCCCCAAAAGCTTAAGGGCCAATGGAAGCAATAAGTATGCATTAGTAGGTGGACAAACTACTTTCCCAACCTTATTTTTCGCTACTTCTAATCATATACGAGCCAGATTAAATCTACTTAATGGATACCCATTGTGTTCTTATCTCCATGACATTTCTCAGGCTTTGGTTCATACAGCACCCTAGCTCCCCAGCACCTCCAAATCCAAATCCTGTCTACCCATTGGGACCTACCATATTCCACTTCTTCCATATAACTTCCCCTTATTTCTCCAGGTGATGTAACCTTGTCTTTTTCTGAAGTCCTGAAATTAGTTCCTATATACCTCTCTAAAATAATACCATATTACCAATTCTAAGATGCACATTTTTTTCACATTTTAACATCCCTGTAAGTTACTCTTTTAAGATACTCTGTCATCAACATTCTTGAAAGGATTCAGAATGATATTCTGTGGAAAAACATGAACAACTCCAAGTCAAAAAGTAGTTCAGAAGAAAGAAGCATTAGGAATACCTTAACCAATTTATTTTGCATATTTTCTTTTTATGTGTACACTATGCTATATATGACAAAACCTGCCTAAGTAAGTCTTTTAAAAACTCCTTTAGTACAAAATAAAAATTTTAAGTGATAAAGCATTGTGTTATAGTTTAATTGGCAGCTTTTTTCTTAGTGTACATAAAATAATAACATGACTTACCATCAACGGTGTCCTAGATTCAAAGAAATGTATTTTGTGATTAAATATGCCAGACATTAAGAACACTTACCTCCCTAATTGTGTCATATATAATTATATTTAGTTTCCAAATCCCATATTAAACTATAAGCTCCTTTGGGGCAGAGTTTGTGTTTGTTTTATCTTTGATTCCCTTACAATACCTGGTATAGTGCTTTACAACAAATAGACATAAAACAAATATTTATTAAATAAATGGATTAGAACAAGAAAGTATTATATAGTAAGTTCCACAAAAAGTAAAGTACTGCATGAGTGAACATCTACTAGTACATTCTCAGTTAACTGCTTAACTGTATTTTTGCTAGAAATATATTTTTATATGATATTTGGGCAGGTCCTTGGGCCAAATCTCAACTTAGGTGAGTGGTTTTGGAACCAACCATAAACAGTCCAAGTAGCATTCCATAAACTTGGGTCTGGTTTGCTGACTACATTTATGAGCAAATGTTGTTACTCATTCTGATTGAATCATACATAATAAGTAGTAAATAAAGCCTTTGTCTTGGAGAACAGATGACAGTAACTTTCCCTAGCAATGCTCAGATTGGACAGGAGACCAGATAAATGCCTGTCTCTAAGAAATACAGTACTTTAGGGGAGCCCAGTTGACTCAGCTGGTAGAGCACGCAACTCTTGATCTCGGGGTTGTAGGTTCAAGCCCCATGTTGGATATAGAGATTACTTAAAAATAAAATCTTAAAAAAAAAAGAAGAAAAGAAGTGTACTACGACATGGATGGAACTAGAGGGTATTCTGCTGAGCAAAATAAGTCAGTCAGAGAAAGACAAATACCATATGATTTCACTCATGTGTAATTTAAGAAACAAAACAGATGAACATAGGGGAAGGGAAGGAAAAATAAAATAAGATAAAAGCAGAGAGGGAGGCAAACCATAAGAGACTCTTCACTATAGGAAACAAACTGAGGGTTGCTGGAGGGTGTGGGGGGTTCTACCCCTGAAACTAATAATACACTATATGTTAACTAAATTGAACTTAAATAAAAAAATTTAAAAAACAAAACCAAAAAGAAATGTAGTACTTTAAAAAACAGTTTTTGTTTTCTTGTTTTCTTCCCTCCAGTCAATCTCTATGCACCTATAATAAAAAACAGCCTAGGGAATTATGTCTATGTGGTATTTTCTAGGAGTCTTTACACTTATTCTTGGGCTACGGGAATAACAAGAAATAATATAAGCATTTTTTTTTTAAGTCAGCTAAATAGTTTTACTTCTGATTCAAATAAGTTGTTTCCATTTTTCTCAAATGAAAGGAGCAGTGCATTCTGTGTTTGCAAAATACTTGGCATGGGTAAGCACTGTGGTAGTCCACATTACTGTTCACCAGATATTCCCAGTTTTCTTTCTGGATACATGATACAATCGTATATCCTTTCCCTGGGGAGATCCCGTGTGGTCATGTGACTTTTTGTCCAATGAAATGAGACCAGAAGTGACATAAAAGTTTAAGAACTAGTACATAACTTGCCACATTTCCTTTCTCTTCTGAAGCAACTTTAGGTGTGCAGAGGAAGAGCCTCCTGTAGCCTAAGTCCCTAAGTGAGTAGCACAGAGCGAAGCCCCCATCTCCCTTAGTTGATCGGCTCATAGATAGATGTGGAACATGTTTTGTGCTACTAAGATACTGAGATGATAAGATAAACATAACCCAGTGTATCTTGATTAATACAGTCTTCACCCAAAACAGTGGGCTTTGGTGATAACTAAAAGAATATAAAAGATTTGACATGCTGATCTTGACCCAGTATTTCTTTCCCTTCCTTATGGAAATGTTTATTGCACATAGCTTTTATAAGATAATATTCATCTCATGGTGATTAGAAAGAGTCATTTTCCCAGCATCAAAATACTTTTCTTTGAATTAGAACTTTTTCTCAAGACATTTTGATATGCTTCCATAAGATGTCCTTTCATTTGCCAACAATAGAATTGTTACTTGAAAGCAGTGACTGTCATCATTCATGCGTGCATTTATTCCATTATTCAACACACTTTTATTGGATGCTCATTGTTTGCCAGGTGCTAAGACTAGGAAATGTTTAAGGAGCTCTAGATAGTTTAGTGGAAGTGGTAGGAGGCAAGTAGGGGGCCAAAAACTGTAAACTACTTTGTTCTTCTGAAGTCTAGATGTTTCAGTAGTTTCATAAATGATACCTATTTCAAGATAGTTTAGCTACATTAAAACTTAAGTTTACAAGTAACGTATCCAAGGTGATATAGACCAAATTTTAACGCTTTTGAGACTACCAACACATTACCTTATACTACTTACATAATTCTTTTTTGTTTGTTTGAGGAATTTTTGTACGGGCATTGTAGGGTTTTTTCTGTTTTTATTTTTGAGTTTTTGTTTTGGTTTGGGTTTTTTGTTTTGTTTTGTTTTGTTTTGTTTTGTGGGGCGGGGAGCTCTTATAATAAAGCTTCTCTTCTCACTATCAGTATATTCTTTAAAATTCCTCTAATGCACTAAGTACCTTTTCACCTCAGGGCCCTTGCACATGCTATTCTCATTTCCTTTTCTCCCTTAATTTAGTTCAGGAAACTACCTACTGGATGCCCTTTTCTATTGAAACTTCTTCATAGAAAGGGATATGTTTTTCTGTTACATTGTTGTGTTTTTAAAACTCTGTTATCAAAGTTAGAAGTTTCTCTACCATAGCTGGTATAGAAAATGTTTAAGAAATAAGAAGTTAAGTGTTATCAAAAAGTTGAATTATCCCAGTTATCCTAGAAGAAAAAAAAATTTTCATCACATTACCAGGTGGCTTCAAGCAACTGTTATTTATAAATTAAAAAATTAAAAGCTGGATTCTTGTTTTGGTCTTCATTATAAAAATCTTAATATCTTTTCCAGAGGTGGTGCAGAGGAGTAAGGAGACAGCAAAGTGCTCTTTTGGTTTTCTCTTCCATCACCTTCTGCCTTTTCATTCTAGGGGTTCTTCAGCAAGCGCCTGAAAGGCTCCATCAAGAGGACCAAAAGCCAATCAAAACTTGACAGAAACACTAGCTTTCGGCTTCCATCCCTTCGTAACGCAGATGACAGGTAGGAGTAAGCTTGCTTAAAACAGGGAAAGCAGTTTTGCTGTTTGTTTCTGTTTTTGTTTTAAACAGGGAAAGCAGTTCTACAGTGGGTTTTGATAAGGCATTTTTGGTCATCTCTGACTTTGCATCAATGACAATGGAAAGATGCAATACTAAATTCACTTTTTTTTTTTTTGTCTTGTTCATATTGAGGCAAGGTACAAAGTGTTGGCTCACATGCCCAGGCAGTTTAAGAATCTTACAATATTGGAAAGTAAGAACTAATTTAAGTGCTGTTTCTGTAGAATTAAATCCTAGTGGTCAGAGATGTCTTTCTTTTGTAGAATGACTGTAGGATGATGATGACAATAGTAAATATGTCTTGAGCACTGCACTAGATGCTTTATATACATTAGCTTGTTTAATCTTTATAGTAACCCTATAAGATAAATATTATTGTCGCCACTTTGTAGATGAAGAATCCGAGGCACAGAGAGATTAAATAATCTTGCCCAAGGTCATACAGCTTAGTAAATAGCAAAAATGGTATTTGAACTTGAGCAATTTGGCTGAAGTCCATGCTGTTCACTGCTCCATTGTTCTTTGTGTACAGCACAAAGTACTGTGGAATCAGTTGTATTGGTTTGCAGTCACATCTAGAAAACATGTATGAAAAGGAAGATTTTGATTATTAGGACTATCAGCTTGAGTAACCCTCAAAAGTGTAGCTCATTAAGGATAACAACCTTGTAAAATCATTGAATGTTTTTAGAACACATTTTTAATACTTCGTATCTCCATATTGTTCAAAATTTAGGAAATGGTACTTGCTGTATTTTGACACATCACCAACATTTACTGAGTGCTTACTGTTTGCCAAGCATTTTTAATGTAGTCTCTCATGTACTACAACCCTAGATATGGTTATTACCCTCATTTTACAGATGAGGAACTAAGACAAAAGAAATTGAGAAACTTGCCCAAGGTCACACAGCTAGTAGGTGGTAGAGCTTGGATTTGAAGTTCTGTCTGCCCTTCATATCTGATACTCTTATTTATACTGGATTTTTTTTCTTTTAGTAAGTCCATTATTTTCAGTTATCTACATAACAAGCAAATATAGATTACAGCCTCTGTAATGGCACATTATAGATTTGCCAGGCAGAGAATTCCTCTCCTTTTTTAATGGATGAAGTAACTTGTCCCCCATACTTAGCTGATGAGACAGTATACTGCTTTATCAGCGATTCTTATCCCTGAACCACTTTAGAGGTGCTCTGTGAAATTTGCAAGTCTGTCCAATTTGCTGTGTAAAAGTTGTGTTGTTAATTATCTCTTTTATACCTCTTTGTTTTAAAGTAATCATTAAAAAGCTGATTGTTTTTCTAAGAATTAAAAACATTTTAAAGTCTCAATAAAATGGAATGACAAATTTTTTCAAAATACTGGTTTTTAAGAACAAGGACATTGTACAACCTCTGAAACACTCCCAGTTCAGTAGCCACTTTCTTAAACTCTGCAGCATCATGTGTATGTTTGGGTGACAAGGAAATAGTTTTTATAGGAGTACTTTATTTTTTAAACTTGCACTAAATACCACTTTCATAATTTCGAATTGCTCCCTCCTCTTCCATTTTGCTTTAGGTAGCCTAAAGGAATGCTTAGATTGAATTACCACTAGATTGTATTCTCCTAGAGTCTCCTATATGCTATTATATAGCTAGTGCACTTTTATTTAGCCTTTCCGATGACCTAAATTCATTATGTGTGCCTTCCATGCAGTTCTGCTTCAATCAATAGTATCTTTGTATCTCAAATACAGCATAATAAAAAGGTGCCAGTAAATCTCAAATATTTATATTTTTCAAATCCATTTGAATTATAGAAGTTTCTTATACAGAAAGCTTTCAAAAACTTTATTCTTCCCATAAAGGGATATACTCACTAGAGTTTGAATATATAATGTTTTTTTTTTAAACAGGCTCTCTTGCCTTCAGATCATCTGAAGATGCATATAAATAGAATTAAGGTACAAGATATTAATCAACTGAGTTCTTTGAATCAGTACCCTTATGGGTGAGACCAAAGATTTTTTTCAAAAACTGTGGTTTTCTTGGGTTATATGCATTGATTGCCCAAGTCAGGCCATTTCTTCCAAAATGGTATATAGTGTCTAAATCTCAGTAGCAAAACATTTCTGTTCTTATGTCAAATCCGTAGAAACTCTAAGCAGACCTAGTAAGCAACCCTTTTTTTCAGTTTTTAAATTATACAGTAAAATGCATATGTCTTTGTTTTAAAAACTTTCAGTACAGGGGCACCTGGGTGGCTCAGATGGAGCCCAGCACTGGGCTCAGCACTCAGCAGGGAGTCTGCTTGAGATTCTCTCTCTCTCTCTCTCTCTCTCTCTCTCTCTCTCTCTCTGTCTCTCTGTCCCTCTGCCACTCCCCTGCTTGTGTGTGTGCACAGGCTTGTGTGCACTATCATTCTCTCTCAAAAACAAATAAATAAAATCTTTAAAAAATATAAGTTTTAGTACATAAGTACAGATCAAAAAGCTGAAGTCCCCTTCACCCTGCCCATCTTTCCATACACATAACCTCATGAGCAGTTGTATATTTTCACACCTCTTTAAAAATCCATACATAAATGCACACATATATATGTTTTGCCTATTTTCATATAAGTGGAATCATATTACACATATTACTGTGTGATTTACTTTTTAATAAAAATATTTTGGACAACTTTTATGTCAGTACATGTAAATCTACATTATTTTAACAGCTGCCTTCTTGGTATGCTACAGTTTTTTGTAACATATTCCACTTCTGTGATAGATACTTTAATTGTTTCCCCCTTTGGGGCACAAACTAGCGATACAGTGGACATTTCTGAACATACACCTTTTTTGTCCTTATGTGATTGAGTCAGATTTGTGAAGTAAAACTACTAGATATAGCATATGCACATTATCAAATTATCCTTCAAAAAAGCTGTAGTAATTACCATTTCCACCAACAGAGTAGGATTACTTTTATCTTTTGGAGCCGGACAAGAGGCTTGAACTCACGACTCTGAAATCAAGACCTGAGCTAAGATCAAGAGTAGGAGGCTTAACCAGCTGAGCCACCCAGGCACCCCATGGATTACTTTAATCTTTTAAATAACATTTTACATTGTATCAATGTGATGGAATAAATACTAATAATAAACACCTATATAGTATTTACTATGTGCCAGACACTGTTCTAAGCATTTTATATAAACTAACTCTAATCATTACAACAAATCCTATGGGGTAGTTACTGTATTGACCTCATTTTGAGGATGAGGAAACGGAGACAGAGAGAAATAAGTAAATTGTACAAGGTTAGAAAATGGCAGACCTGTGGTTCAAATCCAGGAAGTCTGGCTCTAGAGTCTACATTCTTAAACTTTATGCTATATTGCCTCTCAAAAAAAGATGCAGGGGGATGCATTTTTTTGTTTTGTGATTCCCTAATGTCTAATAAGTTGAACATCTTTTCACTTCTTCTATGACTTGTTTATTTATTGCTTTGCCCATTTTTCTATTGAGCTGTTTTGTCCTTTTTTCCCTGATTTGTAGTAGTGCTTTATTATTACTAGGGATTGTAAGCCACTGTTATGCATGTTGCTAAAATTATCTCCCAGTCTATTTCTTGTCTTTTAAAAATCATGTCTCTAGGGGTGCCTGGGTGGCTCAGTCACTTAAGCATCCAACTCTTGATTTAGGCTCAGGTCATAATCTCTGGGTCATGAGATCAAGCCCCATGTCCAGCTACACGCTCAGCGGGGAGTCTGCTTGTCCCTCTCCCTCTGCTCCTCCTTCCACCTGCACACACACACACACACACACACACTATCTCTCTCTCATAAATAAATAATGAAAAATTAAAATCGTGTCAGTAAATTTTATAGAAGTGTTAGATTTTCTTTTCTTTTTTTTTTTTTTAAAGATTTTATTTATTTATTTGACAGAGACAGTGAGAGCAGAACTCAAGTAGGGGGAGTGGGAGAGGGAGAAGCAGGCTTCCCGCTGAGCCGGGAGCCCGATGTGGGACTGGATCCCAGGACTCTGGGATCATGACCTGAGCTGAAGGCAGCCACTTAACGACTGAGCCACCCAGGCGCCCGAAGTGTTAGATTTTCATTTGGTCTAATATGCCAATCTTTTTCTTTATGACCTACCTCAACAAATTTGACCAGAACACAGAAGAAGTCAGAGATCTGTTTCTCATTACATTTCTCATTATGATCCTGTGCAAATCACTTCATCTCTCCCCACTTCAAGACGAAGAGAGATTCTATCTTGAAGTATCAGAGAATAATGCAGTAGTGATCATGATAGGAGTTCTTACAGGTTTTTGATAACCACAAAACTTATCTGCACTCATAGCATTTTAAAAAGGTAAAATTTTGGGCGCCTGGGTGGCTCAGATGGTTAAGCATCTGCCTTCAGCTCAGGTCATGATCTCAGGGTCCTGGGATCGAGTCCCGCATCGGGCTCCCTGCTCCTTGGGAGCCTGCTTCTCCCTCTGCCTCTCTCTCTCTCTCTCTCTCTGTCTCTCATGAATAAATAAATAAAATCTTTTAAAAAAAAAATAAAAAGGTAAAATTTTCTCATGAGGTCTGAGTTACTGCTTAAGATGACTGAGACACAGTTTTAAATGAGTTTTGCTAAATATGATCAGTAAGCTTTTCTGTGCAAAATACAATAGGGTATTTTAACATGCAGACTTGACTGATCAGAAAGACCCTCGCAGCTCCAGGTTTGTCTAGCCAATGATCTACTGGTCATAAACTCTGCTATAAGGCTGTGGTGGAATTTGGTTACCAGTGTTGCTTTTTGGGTCCATTTATAGTAGTCCTTAAACTCAGAATTTCCTTTATGAAATTGTGGGGCACAGGCATACGAAGTAAAGCTTTTGCCAATTAATATTTCTAGAAACCAAATTTGATATACAGTAACATGTGTGATGGTTAGGTACATTCCAGAAA